GGAGGAGTTAGTCAATTTATTAAGTGGATTGTGGATGCCCCTCAGACCAATGTTGGACAAAACCATTTCGGACTCCCATATAAGTTCTCAATTGACTGGCTTCGAATGCCAAGGGACTCACACCGGAGGGAGTTCTCACATACGACACCAAATGAAGTTGCCAACCCAACCCCACTAGCACGGTATTGTTCGCTTTGGCCAGAGTCTCACGGTTTTGCTTTTCTTTAGAAAATACCTCATGCTAGTTAAGAAGAGTTAGTCAACTTATTAAGTGGGTTATGGATGTTTCTCAAACTGATGCGGGACAAATCCATTTCGGGCTCTCACAGATAGTAATTAGTAACTGTTGTTGCATTTATTTGTATTGACAACCACTATTTGATACCAAATATCAAAAATAATTTGTGAAATCTACTTATAGAGTTACAGATAAATTTAATATATAATCAGGGAAAAAAATCCAGTTTGGATTAACAAATAATCACGATACTGAAATAAAAAATATGAAGCTTCATTAGAAAATAAGGCTTACATATAATTTCTCCTTAATAACAAGAAAATATCAACATTTGGGATAATTTACAAAAGTCAAAAAGTTATTAAAAAAGTCAAAAAATTCATACTATTTGAGAAAAGCTTGTGGGGGAAGTCTAGAGGGAAAAATTATAGGCTCTGTTTGGAAAAGGATTTGGAATTTTCATTCCACCTCTTGGTTTGCACGTGGTTTTTGGATGTAGTTTTCAAATATTAATTCCACATCCACTTTTGAAAACTCTTTTCCAGGCGAAAAAATTTGGCTAACCTAGTCGTCTCCAGAACGTCCGGCCGGTTGACTAGAACAGTGTACTTTTTTTTTTTGCACATGTTTTTTTTTATATTTTAAATAAAAAATATTTTCAGAATTTTTAAATTTTTTTTTTATGAGTTTTGAATAAGATTTTGGATTGTGTGTTTGGTTAAGAGTTGTAAATTTTTGAATTAAATATTATATGTCACATCATTCATTTCAAACTCAATTCAAAATTCTTTCCAAAACTCTTTTCAAAACTCATAACCAAACAAATTTATCACACTGAAATCACAATTCTAAAACTCACAAACTCAAAATATAACACATTCTCAAATCATATTTAGAAAATTCTATTAAAAGGTATCATTATTTTGTTCTTTAAATTCAACTACCTAAAAATTAAAAAGTCAAAAAGGCAACAAGGGTAGAATAGTCATTTTGATTTTAATACAATATTTTATTACCTATTTTTTTATAAAAAGTCAAAAAATTATCTCAAAAATACATTTTTTCTCTACTATTTTAACCAAAAAATGCACTTATATAGTATATCCCAAACACATGGCGCTTTTACCTTAGTTTCAATCCTCATATTTCAAAAAAATAAAAATTAATTAATTTTTTTTAATGTTTATGAAATAGATTTAACAACTACATGGAGTCAATAAACTGAAAAAAATAGCAGCAAAAATTTCGTAAAGAAGGAATTAAATATTATTGGGAAGAATTCTTTTATGGAGGCAAGCATGCAGCAGTTCTTCGATAGCAAGACTTTTGCTGTTGCAAGTTGACTTTTCTGATGTTAAATTTTAATTGACAAATTAAATTTGTTTTATTGATTTAAATTCAATTAATAAGTCGGTAACAGTACTTTGTTTAATCTTCAAATACAACTTACACTTTTTTACTATATATGTTTTGGGAAGTGATTCATCCCCCGAAAGGGGGACCCCGAATCCCCCGAAAATGCCATTCAAGGTAAAAAAAAAAAAAAAAAAAGTTAAATTTGTTTTATTGATTTAAATTCAATTAATAAGTCGGTAACAGTACTTTGTTTAATCTTCAAATACAACTTACACTTTTTACTATATATGTTTTTTAGTCCTGTTTAATATACTTTAAATTTCACAAATGCATCTCATAATTTGAGGTTTTTAGATTGTTGTACCATAGCAAAGTGCTTTTTTTTTTTTTTTTTACATAAAAAAAATTAGAATTATATTATAGTCTGTGTGTCATGAGAGGCAATCGTGTTTTTTTTATTTTTTTGAATGAAGAGGCAATTGTTGACTACATGAAAAATAGATTGATGTTAGTGGACATGAAAAAAATATTATAAAGATGATCATGAAAATTTTTTTACCCTTACATTATATATATAATAAAATATCACACACTAATTAAATGATGAAAAATCTTCATAAAATATTTCGTGATATTTTTTTTTATGATCCATAGTATTATTCATTATCAAATTGGTCTCTGGTTATGCGCTGACTGATTTGTAGCCCGTTAAATATAGAACAGCTCACCAATCTCTTGGCCCAAACCAAATTTAAGGCCACAAATGCTAAGATAGAAATCTCTTTTTCCTAAAAAATTCACAAAGCCCGCAAGTTAGGCAGCCCAAGCACATAAGTTTACAGTATTGTCAGGCCAGTGCGCCTTTTGGAAGGCCCAACAGAGGCCCCGTTTGCTAAAAATAATTTTAAAAAAAAACTTAAAAAATGTTGAAGTAAAACAAGAAAAAAAACTCTAATTTAAAACAAGAAAAAAAAATCTAAAACTATAATACAAAAAAGAAAAAAGAAGAACCTATACAATTCTTAGTTGCAAAATTAATAATTTACCTTGTATAATCAAACTTATTTATCATGCTATTTTAAATGGATACTTCAAAAAAATATAGTTTTATTTTTTTAGGTAGGACTATGACTTTATTCACTTATAGTGGATCTTGCCAAATTTAGAATTAGTGTCATTCAAATTCAATCCACGCTTCAACATCATGAATAGTAATTTACAGAACTTACCAATTAGGCATTTATAAAATTTAATCAAATAAGGTATGTTAAGTATTGAATAAGTACATATCAACATTGGATTTGGTAAATTGTGAGTTAAAATTTCACAATTGATCTTGGTTGTTGGTTTTAAACAGCTGAAAAGTCAAATGTATTAGATGATCTGCTTTTGGTATAGAAATACTTCTCTGTTCCTCTGCCAAAATGCATTAATTTCAATTTCTTTTGTGAGCTGGCCACTATCAAGTGGGGAAGAAAAATGCTGACATCTAAATGTTTTACTACATATTTTATGTAAGTGGGAGATTTTATTATGCGATTTTATGTTAGTTTTACATTTATATAAAATATTTGATAAAATACTTAAAATTCCTCATTGGAAAAACGAATACCACGCTTTTCAAAAAATATCAGCTTTTTATCCTTCTTTTCTCTTAAGAATACATTTATGAATAAGGTTAAAATTTAAACACATTCAACATGGTATAGTTCACGGATAATCAATCAATCACTTGAAGAAGACATTTATGGATAGGGTTAAAATTTAAATACACTGAACGTGGTGTGGTCAGTTGAGAATCAATCAATCATTTAAATTTGATATTGTAACATGAGATCTTCAACTCAAACCCACCTCAAGTAAAGTTAAGGTTATCCGTTAGAGCTCTTCCATCTTCTCTCTCTTGCTCTTGACTTGAATTTTTTTTGGTAAATTTAGGGTTCGTTTGAAAAAAAAAAAAAACTTTTTTAGCCTATTTTTTTAACTTTTTGGCTAAATTAATTTCGTTTAGGAAGAATTTTTTTTGGCTTTTTTGACTTTTTTATTTTTTTGTGAGAAAAAAATAGAATGATTATGGTTTGGAGGTGGTATTTTGTTTTATTAACTTATTTAGCATATTTTTTTTTTGTACTTTTTTAATCACAACCTAAAACCAATTCACTTGCCAAACAGGGACTTACATGAAAAGCTAGACGGTATTATTAAGATTTAGCAATATTTTTAAACATAATTTGAGGATTGAACAACTCTAGGTTTAAGTAAAAAATCAAAAATTAAAGGTGCTATTGCACATCTTTTCAATTTAAACAACTGCGAGTAAATTTTGCGACATCAACATAATGAAAGTTTTGAATTGGACTGATAAACTATACGATAATTTTTGAATTGGACTGATAGCATAAAACTTGGATTAAAGCAAATTTAAACCTTGTTTGAGAATATGTTATTTTAGTAATTTTTTGATTTTTACGAAAAGATATGCAAGTAAAGAAAATGATCTGACAATTTATAACGACTTTTTAATTTTTTAATTAAAACAAAAAGTTATCAAACGAGGCGGGGATGAGGACCAGTAGATATTAAATATATTGAGGTGGGCCATGGGTGGGAGTCCATCAATTTTAAATCTTAAAAATAGAACGCACATATATATATATATATATCTATACATAATCTAAAAATGTTTGAGAGTATTAAATATGGAGCATTAGGAGGAGTTCTAATGAGCTGGTCTGATGGTTGTATCTTTTTTATTTTTATTTTTTTTATTATTACATTTCTAGCACATTAAAACTAATTTAGTGCTATTTTTTAAAAGTTTTGAATCAGCTCACTCTATAACCCCACATTTAAAACGCAATGTTGCTAAGAAAGGCTTTATATAGACAAAGTAGTTAACACAAGGACAAAGTTCTTGTGCAAGTGGAAGATTAGGCTTTGCCTTCTCTTTTATTTTATTTTATTTTTAATGCGAGACACCTTCATGAATTGAAAGCAAAAGGTGAAGACTCTTTATTTTTATTTTTATTTTTAATAAGAAGGTGACTAATTCAAGCCATGAATCTCCAAAATATGTTTGGCATAGGATTTTTTTTTTTTTTACTATTTTAATTATAAAAAGATAAAATATATTAAAAAGTTAATAAAATAAAATATTACATTCAAATCATAATCATTTCATTTTTTCTCTAAAAAAAGTCAAAAAAGACAAAAAAAAATCTCAAACAAGACTTTTCGTCTCAAGCTAAAATAGTTAAAAAGTTAAAAAGTTCACCCACATCCCAAACGAATGCATAGTATTAATTAAGAAAATTCTAACAAATTTTATGCCCACTAAAAAAAAAAAAAATTATACTCGACCATATCCTACTTCTACAATTCACTCCATACATCTACAAGCAGCAAATCAAAAAACAGAAGCCTTCGGAATTATTTTTTCAAATTAATACAAGAATCTTAACTTAAATCTCTTAATTAATTAATAAAAATGATAATGATACACACATCTAATTTTTAGACCCATTTTATAGACCAATGATGTGTTAATCATCTTCTTGGCACATCATTAAGTCTAAAAAGTTAATCTAACTTTTGAGATTGTTGGGAATAGTAATGCTCATTAATTAATTAGGCTTCCTGCAATTCTTCCTTATCTCGCCTTTGGAACCAGTGAGGGGACTAATATCTCCCATCTTAATCATTGCTGCAGCAAAATCAAAGTAGAAGGTTTTGGCATTTGTGCTGTATTTTTCGACGAGGGAGTCAGTTGATCCACCATTGTGCAATATTTGATCAGAGTGGAGGAGGCCCTTTTGGTTGATCAAGTTCTTGTAATACTTGTTGTCAAAAAAAGTGGGAGTTTGAAGGTCTAGAGGTGCCAAATTGTTGTCTCCTGAGCCGGTAGCACGTGGGCAACTCCGTCGCCTTGTCTTTGCAAAGGAGCTATCAATATTAGTCTCGTTATATATGCGATTTCTGAAGCTTGTACACCTTGCTTGCCCTATTGTATGTGATCCTGTTTCACAAAAGAAGTCATTTTAGAAAAGATATTAATTATTTTTATGTTGTTACACCTTTTTTACTTGAGCTTTTAGAGAGAGAGAGAGAGAGAGAGAGAGAGAGAGAGAGTGAGTACCAGATAGAGTAACCATATCTTTGGCAGAGAGGCCTCTAGCTTTGAATCTTTTGATAAGGTTACTAAGGGTAGAAGTAGGAGGTGGGATTACACCACTATTTGCCTTGGCTAAACTAGCAGTTTTAGAATCTCTGCGTCCAAGTTTGACATCCCAACTAGGCCCTCCAAGCTACAATAACAACAAATAATATAGCATTTATCCATCAGAACCAAACTTAAATGCATGCACCATCTTGGGTATTGAAAATATAAACAATAAAAATTACCCTTCCATCTTGGGTATTGAGTAGGTAATTAAAAATTAATATGTATCAAAGCAGATGATAGATGACAGACTGTGTGATTGAATCTTCCCATTTGCTCGATAATTAAAATATTTACACGTGTTTAGCCTGAAAATGAAAGAGAATCTCTTTCTATTTATTAATTTAAGCTTTTAAATGAGTATGTAGTTAATAATAAAATATTCAAAACTTGATATTTAATAAGAAGCACTTACATAAACAGTGGAGTCACGAGCTGCGATAGCAACAATATCAGCACACGAGACTATACCAGGGCAAATTTTTTCCACCTTAGACTTGATATCATCTATTACATTGTATCCCCTTACAGATCCATTATTAGGACGTGCAGTCTTCTCCCCTTTAAAAGATGAAGTATCATCTAAGAGTATTGATCCATCACAACCCTTTCATCAATAATTAGATGGCCCATGAAATAGAAAGAAGCTTTGTTAGAATTTGTCTAAAAAAAATAAAAAAATAAAAAAACTATGGGGGAATAGGTCAATGTGCATGACAATTGAACAATGTGCTATATGTCTTATGTTGTAAATTGTGCCACCAAGGTTAGTGAACTTGACTTAGGCCTCGTTTGTAAATTCTCAATTTTAATTAAAAAGTCAAAAAGTTATTACATTAGTTAAAAAGTCAATAACTCATATCAAAAAATTAAAATTTTCTTTTTTCTCTATTTTTTACACATTTTTTTGTAAAAAGTCAAAAAATCATTCCAAATATACTAATTTTTTTTAACTCATATTTTAGTCAAATAGTTAAAAAATTACTAAATTAACCTGTTCCAAGCGAGACCTTATTATATGTGTTAATCACGCGCAAGAAATGTTGCCTCATATCTATTATTTTTGTTTCATGACTAGAGTTTGTTGTTTTTTAGCAGGGATGTTGCTCTATAAAAATGATAACAAGATATTAAATAAATAAATAAATTATATATAAAATAAAATGGCTTAATATTGGATTTTCACTTTAAAATAGAATATTCATAAATATGATTTTATTTTCAAAAAGTAACATTACCACATCCTTTTTATAATATTTTATGTATAAGATTTTTGCAAGAATTCTCCTAATAGTAATCATTTGAGTGCATATTTTGTGTTCCAGTGCATATGCATGTGTTTTTTTAAATTTGACAGGGGTGCAACAACAGAAATTTTTGGGGGTAGAGGATAGATGCCATGTTGTTACTAATATGTTAGATATTTAGAAGATAACAGAAAGAAAGAAACATGCATATGTGATTGATAGAAAATAAGTATCCTCTATTTGTGAAATTAACTTAAAGTATATGTGCCAACCACACGACATTCTTTTTGTAGTAGAATATTTGCGACAGCATAATTGCAATTGCAAAAAATAATTATTTGTAACGGTGTTTTACACCGTTACAAATATTTACAACATTAACTTGCCATCACAAAATATTTCAGTTGCAAAAAGGGTTAATTTGGGATGAAAAGAAGAGAACAATTACATTGACGAAGCAGTCATGGAAATGGAGGCGAAGGAGAGAAGCACCCATTCGCTTTTCCTTCGACACAGCAGAATTGACCACTGATTTCACAGTACTTAGTAATTTGGGACAAGTTTTGAAGTAGAAATTAGTGGAAAGCTGAGCAGAGGAGGTACCCATTAAGAGCACAAACATGAGGAATGTGACATTAATCACCATTGAAGAAGAAAAAGCCATTTTGGGAAACAGAAGGCGGTAGACAGAAACTAGAGATGGAGTGGAGTGTGTTGAGAAGAAGATAGTTTCAGGGTTGCATATATATATATCTAAGAACTCAAGGGCGCGTTTGGCACAGCTAGATGACCTAATCTCCTAGACTAATTTTCTGAAAATTGAATTTTTTTATTTTTTATGTTTTTTAATTTTTAATGAATTTTTTAATATTTTATGAATTTTTAATTTTTTTTAATATACTTAATATAAATACAATTAAAAAGTATAATATTTATGAAAAAAATCTTTAAAAATTTCATTAAATACCAAAAATATAATATATATATATATATATATATGTATATATGAAATTCAATCCATTATTGTATTTTTGTTTATTTAACAATTTTTTTAAATTTTTTTTACTTTTTAAGTACATGTAAGTTAGGTGCATCTAAAAAATCAAAAAATTGCTTAAAATATTTTTAAAAAATCACTAAAAACAAAAAGAATACAAAAAAATTAAAAATGCTCAATTTTTTTAAAATTGAATTTCTAAAATTAAAACTAAACAAGGTGAATATTACCCCCGAAAGAAAGAGTATGGAATATTATTTGGTGCTCTTAGAGCATCTCCAATGATTCATCAGATTTTTCATCAAATTTGAGTAAAAAAAAAAAAATAATTTTCTCTATTTGATATTACATGCTCCAATGGAGAAATTTAGCTTTTCATCAAACTACCGGTTAACCGGACGAACGATCGGCCAATGCAAAAAATTGAAAAACTGAGAAGACAAAGAGGTGGTCGACCGAGGGGTCGATCGCCTAGTGTAAAACTTTCACAAATTTTGCTTTAGGTGGTCATCCAAGAGGACGTTCGACCGGTTATCCGGTGGGACTCACTTCCAACGTAAACGCCTAGTGTTTTGGTGAAATCTGTTCCACTTCTCATTTTGGTGAAACTTTTGGTGAATTCTCAATTTAATATCCATTTGGTGAAACCGTTGGAGCCATAAAAGTGATAATTTTTCACTAAGGCCTCGTTTGGAAACCCTCTTTTTTAGTTAAAAAGTCAAAAAGTTACTAAATTAGCCAAAAAGCAAACAACTCATACCAAAAAGTCAAAGATTCTTTTTTATCTCTATTTTTTGCACATCTTTTCGTAAAAAGTCAAAAAGTCATTCCAAACATACTAATTTTTTTTAGTTCATATTTTAGTCAAATAATTAAAAAGTTATTAAGTTAACTTATTTCCAAACGAAACCTAAATTCAAATCTAATGCTAAATTTATTTCACCGTTAGAGATGGTCTTAGGTACTACTAATCCATCGTCTTAAGAGTTCACACGAATCCCTTTTCTTTACATTTAGGAATGAATCATAGGTATGTTGGGTAGCTGTGAATCTCGATAAAAATGCTTAGAGTCAATGTTGGTGTGATATTTCAATGTTCTTTTGTATTTTCTTACTACTATATATTTATAGGTAAATTTTATATATTTCTGTATTATATTGTAATTTTTTAAAATTATAATGAAACCAATTCGATTGGGAATGTAATTCTATTATAAGGTTAATGGCGTAATTTTTTGTGTTTCTGTATGTTTAACTTAAATTTTATTTTATTTTTATTTAGGTTTCGTGTCTCATAATTAATTTTATTATTATTATTTTAAAATAGTTAAAACAATGCCTCATGGTTCCGTTTGTTTTCAAAAATAAAATGGAGGTGATTCATAGTGAGGAGATTAATAGTGAGGGGATTAAGGGGTTGTTTGGAGTGTCCTAAATAAGTGCACTTTTTTGTTTTTTAGACTAAAAAATTGAGAAAAAAAATATAAATGTTTAGATTAACTTTTTTGATTTTTTTTGAAAAAATATGTATTAAAAAATTGTATAAATAAGTGTATAAGAGAATTTAGTGATAGAATAGGCCGTACGGTCAGAAGCGTAAAGGGCTGCGCGGCAGAGGGTAGGGGTAGAAGATTCATTCTCTCTTTTTCGAGCATAAATTGGACGGTGCTGTTTGGCCCATGGGAGCCCACCACGGGGTCCCGTTTTGCTAATCGGAACCGTTTAATGTGTAGAACTCGTTGAGTATTATGTTCTTATAAAAAATCACATTGATTGGATATCAATAGCTATCTGATCCTGTTAGTTTTTCTTGTCAACTGTTAACTATAACACAATACATTTTTTATACAAAACTGATTTGATCATGTAGTTACCAATTTTCGATCAATGTGATTTTTTACAGGCATATAGTTCTTGACCAGTTCTTCGTATTAAACGGTTCGGATTATCAAAACGAGACCCATGGTGGGCCCTCACGAGCCCAACATTTCTATCCAACTTAGTGATTTTATATATGTAATTTTTTTTCCCTCTCACGGTACTAAAGGGTCACTTATTAGGTGTAAATTTTGTTTGATTAAAATATTATGTATATTAATTTTTTTAATAATTTTAATTTGTGAATGGTGATAATTTTTTTGTTTTTTTTTTGTACCTTTTTGACTTTTTTGCAAATCAAAAATTTATAAATCAAAATTAATAATTTTTTTTATAAACTGAGACTACTGATTTATAAATCAAAAATTTTACCAAACAAGTTTTTGAGGGGATTGATAGTGAGAGGATTAAGTAAAATTGTGTTTGTTTTAATGATAGTTATTAGTGTAGGGATTGTTAAATTATTTTTATATAAAATAATAAAATAAATAAAAAAATACAAAAAATTAAACATTAATGTTAAAAAAAAATGCCCAACATGTAGAAAATAAAAAAATAATTTTTTTTTACTCCCTTCATTATTTTTCTAATACAACCTCTACCTCCTCTATCCCTATCTCTCTTCCAACCTTCATCTTAATTCCCTCCTCCATCTTAATTATTTTTTTAACTTTACAAACAAATACAATACTAAGGCCAAGTTTGGGAAGACTAAATAAGTGCACTTTTTGACTTTTCTTGTATTATGTGTAGAAAAAATAAAGAGGAGATGTTGATTGATCTGACCTAAAAAAGATAAAAAAATAAAATAAGTACACTTTTTTAATTTAGCCAAACTTAACCTAACCTCTATCAATCTCATCCCACCCTCTGGACCCCATAACAAACAGGTCCATAGGTAAGTAACTTTAAAGCATGGTAGAGGTAGTAGAGCTTTGTATTAATTCATTGATTGATGATAGTGGCCAAAAGCACGTTTACGTGGAATGAGCTGATGGAAAGTCACATCTACAGAAGGTACCGACATTTATCAATTTGGGGTTATTTCCATATCATTTAATGTTTATTTATTTATTTGGGTTACAGTAAAGACGCCATGGAAATATGAGATAATTAGGTACCTGTTGACTTGTTTTAAAAAATTAGTTAAAAGTTTAATTTTTAATTTTTTTTAAAACGTTTATAAAAATAAAAAGATAATATAATTCAAAATAAATTAAAGATTTAATTTTAATTTTTAATCATTTTTTCAAAATTAAAAAAAGTTGTTAAGCATTAGCTTACATGCAATTAAAATATTAATAAATTTACTTCTGAAATGAAAATTTATCTAAAGCTCTATTTGGAATGAGTGGATGAAATATGATGGAATTTGTTTTATAATAAACCTTGTCCGATGGGTAAAATTTTACTTAATTTTTTAAGTTTTAGAAAGAAAAAAAAATTACAAATTTCAAGGTTTAGTACAATTATATTACTGTAATATAGATGAAAAATTATATTGTATATTTTATTTTTGATTCGCATGTGGTAATTTAAAAATTTTTTAAGCTTATTATATTTTTTCAAATAATTATAAGAAAGCTTTAACTATGTATATGCACCAATCATTTGAGAAAATTTGATATTTTTATATGCCTCTGTTTGGCAAGATGGTTTTCAGGCTTTTTTGGCTATTTTAGCCACAAAAAACAAAATAGGCTATTTTAGCCATAACAAACAAAACATCACATCCAACCTATAATCATTACATTCTTCTCTCACAAAAAAAGTCAAAAAAGCTAAAAAGTCAAAAAGCCCTTCCCAAACCAAGCTTTTTAGCCCAGGCTAAAATAGCCAAAAAAGTCAAAAAGCCAAAAAGCCAACCTCCTTCCCAAACCAAGAAGCCATAGTAGATGATTGAATTGAGATAGAAAATATTATTCTGTTCAGATTTCGTACAAATAAAATCGTTCAAGAAAGATTTTGAATAATTAGATTTACAAAGTTATTCCTAATTCATCAATTGAAAACTTTAAAATTTATTTTAAAATTTTAAATATAAAATTATTATATTGAATTAAAGATTATACTCTTTTAAATTAGTAATATCAAATCCATCCATTTTAAACTCATAAATTTGAAGAAAAAAAAAGCCCTTATAAATTTGAACAAACAAATAACGCCAATAATAATAGAACATTTGGTTACGTCAGTCAATAATCTATTCTAATATATAAAGTGAAGGTTTGTTGTAATGTTGACACATCTCTGCCTCATATTTTGAGTTTTCCAAATATACTCATATAATTGATATTTATGTAAAAAAGAAGAGAATAAAACTTGATGCCAAGATTATAAATTACACAAAACAAGTTCTTACGACTTGATCAACAAGCACTATATATATATATATATATATATTATTTTTATACTATTATGTGTTTTTTTAATTACACAGACATTATGTGTACAACCAGGGATGGACCGAGGATTTGATCATTGGGGGAGGCAAAAAAAAAAAAAAAGAAGAAGATAAGTGGGGTTAGATTTAAAGCAATGGATTTTTATGTAATTAACAATTGTGATTTTTTATACTATTAATTGAAAATGGATACACTCTTATTCTTGTTAAATATTTAATGTAAGAGTAATATTACATGATAGCATCACTAATTAATGAGAGTTTTTAGGCCATGTTTGTTTGGACGGATATGTACTTGAGATTGGACTAATAGTCCAATAAAATTATTAATCTGATGTTTGGTTAAAATATTGAAGTACGGACTAATAATCCATCCGGATATGGTATCTCATATATGATGAACTATTCAATCTCATAGACGGGCTATGATATAAATTGGGAGATTAAGTCAA